CTTGAATGATATAGACAATGAAAGAACAACATTTCTTCAAATACAAGCTGATGCTGCAATGAAATTTTAGGCTTGTTAATTTAAGTGCAGTGTCAAATGCAATAAAAAGATGCTATTTCAACTCTCAGAATTTGCAGGTTTTGACATTTTGCAAAGTTCCAAGGAATTTAGGACTTCCAGTTGTTCTGTGCAATTAGCAGAGTTCATTCTGCTCAGATGCAGTTGGATGACAATGGAAATTATGTACACAATGCTTCTCATAATAAAATCAGAACAAGCCATAGGTTGTGGCTTGCTTTCTAATTCATTTAATTATTATTTTGTTTTGTTATTGGTGCCGACCAAAATGATCATGGTCCCTTTGGGGATGAAGATGGGGTAAAAATATATTTATTTCCTTCCATTATATTCCAGGGTTTAGTTTCTGGTCTTCTAGAAGTCTTTGGCCTGTGTTTCTTCACAGTTGTTATCTTGGTGCAGACAGATATCCCACCTGATTTACGCATTATCATGATGAATGGAGTGTTTGTTTTTCCGGTACTTTGGCAAGTGTATAAAAAGGGACCTTGTCGTCAAGATCAGTATTCTTGGATACAATTTCTGGCGTTTACCCTGGCGCTGATCCTGGAGATAGCAGGAGTTGGAGTCCTGATGTATCTGGTGAGTGCATGTACATGTAGCTGTACTGTACATACTGTACGTGCTATTTATGCAACACTTTCGAGTGGTATACCACTGTGAAATAGTTCAAACAGTGACTTTGAATGTTTATTTCGTTTCTATTCGTTTAATCTGCTCTTTGTTAATTTCGAGTGATTTCCGGTCAGCGGTCGTTTACTGTATTTTAGTCGTGTCATTGCTTACATTGCTACTCGGGAAAGTACTAAACATGTTTTTCGTTCCCACTCAAAAACTCGCGCAACATTACCGCCATGTTTGTAATGCTGTCGAACTGAAGTGAAATATAGTTGAGTTCCTGTCACTGTTGTATTTCCTGCTTCCCCACAACCATGGAATATCCTACTAGTCACTTGTATTTTCTCAGTATACACGCAAGCCTTTTGGCAAGTAAAGGCTTGTGTGTATTCCAAGAAAATATAAGTGATGAAAGAACAACAAAAAAAATAAATACTGTTAGTAACTATTTTATATCATGCCATAGAAAATACATTGGCCAAACAAACAATGCAACATACGCACAGCGCACAATGGGAAAGTTGGGTGTAATATCGTGGAATATACAGTGGCCTTCCTGTATTCTGATTGGCTGTATTTTCTGTGGCATGTTATAAATATTAGTGGGGGTGGGGGGACAGGTACATTTTGTATTTTTACTGGGAAGTAAGGGTGGAAGTGGACGTTCAGACTGCCTTACTTGCAAAAAATTATGAGTGATTTTAATTTCAGACAAAAAAGTGTCCGAAAATAAAACTATGTGAAATTTTTAAGTGTCCGAGATTTTAGGTGTCCGAAATATTTTCAGTAAAGTATAAAACTTTTAAATACAATGTAGCTCCAAAGCCACTAGTCTCCTTTATTGAGCGAACCAGGGCTTGACACTAATGGTAGCCAACTAGCCACAGACTGGTAGAAATTTAGTTTTGGCTAGTAGGTTTTGGATTTCCACTAGCCACTTTGGCTAGTAAACAAAATGAAATTGGCTGAACTGGTTTCTGTGTACCTCAGGGAAGACAAACACAAACACTTTTCTCAGAAACAAGGTGAGAACTTCATTGTGGATGTATCATGTTACCAGGCATGTGCTGTCCAGCACATGTGCAAATTTAAGTTTGTATACTTTTTGCTGTGTGGTACATTGTATGTATCGCGTAACTGAACATGTTATTATGTTGAAACTTAGAAATATTTGATAAACAAGACAGCTTTTTCTGAAAGCACACATTGATATTCTTTTTTGTTACAAAATTAGTAGTACAAATCATGAGCTTCCTGACAAGATCATGAGCAAAATCTTGTGGAACTGTAAAGGGATAACATTTCATTTAGCATAACGACACATGGGTGATTTGTCATTGTATGCATAGTGACAAAACTTACCACCACAGAAAAAATTAGATGAGAAAGATTTATTTCTTCAACATTTAAATCAGCGATTTTTGGCAGTCAAATTTCGCCAATGATGGTTTGCAGTATTGTTCAGATAGTTGGTTTGCTTTTGAAACATTTGTACAGCGCCTGTCTTTGAAGAAGTCTCAACAGTTTTTACAATAATGTCTCGGGGTCTTAATATTTTTCCAAGGAAGTCTCAAAGAAAAACAGAGTCCTGGGAGTCTTTTCGGGAAAGTCGCTAGATTTTTCTTTGTGATCTGTATGAAAGTGAGTCGCTTACGTTGTGCTTTGAAGTCTTGCTAGTAATTCTGCTGTTATTGGACCAAGCCAGCATCAATGCTTGGCCAGTGAAAAGAAATTTTGGCTAGTAACATCGAATTTGTCACTAGCCACTAGGCTACTAAGTTGAAAACTTAGTGTCGAGCCGTGGTGAACCCTAGTTGAGACAGCTTGAGATACGTAATGGTTCAAGTGATAGAATTTTCCTTATTTTCCAGTCAGTGTATCTGTAAAACCTTGGGGGTGCAGTAAAACTATCATTTTCACAGATGCTGTTTTAGTCTAAAACGTGTTTTGTGGCGGTAAATTTTACATTAGCTATGTTTCAGTGAAGTGTCCAAAATTTTTGTTCGAAATTTATCCAAAGTGAGATATAAAAAGTATCTGAAAATTAATTGTCTGAAATATGATGTCCAAAATGTCAACGTTTGGAATTTTTATTGCAAGTAATAAAGTATGCACCGTACATGCAGTTGATTGCTTTCAATCCCAAGTCATACTGTACGGTACATTTCTACTAGAATGGTTTGTTCCCCTTGTAAGAACTTTATCAAGTGACATGCCCCCCATCCATGTATATGTGCATATACATGCATATATGTTTGTTCTTACCTCCCTATATATAGACAATATACATGTAGGTGCATCACTCCCTTGAAAAACAGTGGCTTTCAGTAGTCTTGGATTGCATGTCATCAGGTCACAAGTTAGTGACAAGACTACAGTGATATCATGTCTGCTTATTTATTGTTACCATCAAATAAGCACAGTTGTTCTTACATGTACATGTACGTGCGTTATCCAGTTTGCCTTTTAAATTGTAATTTCAGGGCTGTGCTCTAGAAGCGCCTGGGTGCCACAGGAAACTAACTTTTGCCTTTGGGCAACTGGACAAACTTACTCTTTTCATATAAGCTTATACTAGGTGCTTGGACTCCCAGGATTTAATGTTTAGGAACGTTTAGGCTCCTCATTATTTTTCTTAGACCACAGCCTTGAATTTGTTCTTTTGTTTGTAGGTGGACAAGAAATCATCTGAAATTGTGGTTTGGGCTATTCCATTAGCACTGCTAAGCATTTCATTTGCGTGGTGCCCCAAGATATTCAAGATAGCCATTGAACCACCCGAAGATCAACCACCTCCAGGTCACAACCAGTCCATCAATGAGTCAGTTCAAGTTGAGTTAAGTGGTGTGTCTGTGACACTTCCACAAGGGCAAACAATTCTTGGTGTGGCTACTAGTTCAAAATCTGCACGTGGAAAGGCAGCCATTATCACCAGCTTGTGGAAACTCCTTCTGATTCCTTTTGTAGCAGCTTTATTTTGCCATGTCTACAAAACAGCAGACTTGGGACAGCTTCTTTATGGGTTTTCAGAATTCAATGTCAAACACAGTGCATTTCCTTATTTCATGGTTCAAATATTCACCAGCTTTGTTGGATACATGTTAGGGATACTGGCCTGCTCAATGTGCATGCAATTTCTTGCATTTGCATTCCCAATGACTCTAGCAACACCCGTAACAGTTGCCTTGGTACTGATCAACGATGGTGTTCAAGGTGATGTTCTTCATTTCTCTAATGGGAACGAAAAGGAGGTTTTGCTTTATGTCATTGGTGCATGTTTCTTGTTTGCACAGTTTCTCTCTGTTGGCTATTATTTGTTCAAGGGACAAGATTTTATTATGGCCAAGGAGTCCAGCTTGTTTTGGATGCCTACGTATAATGGTATGGAACTGTTACCTGTTACCTGCTGTTACCTGTCCAGTTCGTATGAAACTGTGCTTGAATTATTTTTTATTTTTCAATGTACAATTGTTATGCACATGCATAATAAGCAATAAGATTATGGGCTTGAGATTTCTATCATGCATAGAAATCGAGAGCGAACAATCTGATTGTTTTAGTATAAATCTACTAGTCGTTCAAAACTTCATCTAAATCCTCTTCACAGACACTTCGAAAATGCCAAGAAGTGGCTGTCATTTTGTTAACAAGCGCGCACTTCACTATCTACGCTACTATGCTACTCACTTTCTACATTTATTAGTAGTTATTATTGATTAGTGAATTTATGGAAGCTAATGCATAATATTGCTTTCAAAAATTGTGAATTCCTGAGCATCTAACTTAACTTTATTGTAAACATACAAGTCTTGTAACCTTGGAAATTCTGGAAAAATGTCTGATTGCAGAAAGCCCTTCATTTTTAAGCGATGACATATTGTGTGACGTCATCGCTTTAAGCTGGCATGCTGCATTCCTTTGGATAGTGATTTCTCACTTACTTCGTCACGCTTATGTCCGTCGCACTTTTGTTGTGCACGATTTATAGCTCTGTGGAAGCGAAATGCACTCTGGGATTTGCTGTTTGTAGGTTCAGTGGAGTGCTTTTAATTCTAGCTTTTAAAAGACGATTTAGGGGTGGATTTTGGTTTATACAGTATCAGATAAATTTTTGTTCATGGGCAAACTCGTAATAAGAACGTATCCTCCATACATTCAAGTTTAGATAGACAAGTAAGTCACAAAGGCAATAGGTGAGGGTTTGCGGCTTTCCTTTGCTGTTTGTAGGATCAGCCGAGTGCTTTTAATATCTATGACAAGTATACAGTTAAAACAACAAATTAATTTCCAGTGAGGTAATTGGTGTTGCCAAATATTTTTAAAGATAATAAGGTGTTGATTTCAGAGAGAGTAACTTCTCCTTTGTGGCTTTCCTTTGCTGTTTGTAGGATCGGCGGAGTGCTTTTAATTTCAGTTTTTATACAAAGATTTGGGGGTGGATTTTGGTTTATACAGTGTCGGATAAATTTGCGCTCACAGGCAAACTCATAATAATTTATCTTCGATACATACAATTTTAGATAGACAAGCGGGTCGCACGCCCGATATGACAAGTATTTGGTTAAAACAACAAATTAATTTCCGGTGAGGTAATTAGCTTTGCCAAATATCTTTAAAGATAATAAGGTGTTATCCTCGCTGAAACAAAAACAAAAGTTAATGTAAGAAATTTGAAAAATACACTGTAACAGAAATTATTTTATTATGTATTGGAAAATTTAGTTATTAATCTTTCTTTTGGGTTGGTACATTTTGCTGACCCCTAGTACATGGACTTATACGATGGACATGGTACATGAACTACTTGAATGAACTACCAGTGGACTACCCCCAAATGAATGTAAACCCCTAAAATTTCTAACACAAAAGTTCTACAGTCTGCTTATGTTCCAATCTTCTAGGAACAATTTTTAAACGTCATCGCTTCTGCATGCACTGTGTGTTGTTTACGCTTATAAGCACTTTACTTTGTGTCAAGGATGGGTCACGCACATGTTTGTACAGTGTAGTTTGACATTTGGACAACTTCTTTAGATGGCTGACGTATAGTTGTATTTCTTTTAGGTGTGCTTTTGGAACAACATCTTTTGTTGAATCGACGTAACAAAATCACAGATGACTATCAGATCAACCACAGAGAGCTGGTGAACAATTCCTGTGTGTATATATGTACAACAATGTACCATGAAATTGAACAAGAAATGGAACAACTGCTCCAGTCTCTTCATGACATTGACTGCGCAAGGGAAAAATCAAAACGCCAAATTGAGTCACACATATTCTTTGATGGTGCAATCAAAGGGGATGTTTTGAATAATTATGTTTTGCAGTTGATCTCATTGATTCCAAAGACACTGAAAGTAAAGATTGAACATTGCATGAAAATCAAGACTCCTTATGGGATGCAGATGCGCTGGAGACTGCCAGGAGGCATGTTTTTTCATATCCATTTGAAAGATAATTTGCGGGTGAGTGTCATTTTTGGTGCATTGTGGGAGACACTGTGATCTAGTGGGTAATTAATTTGCTGGTCCCAGTTGTTTGAAGGGTGTCTACTAGATAAATCACTATTCAGTGGATAATTGTTAACAAAACAAACCATGCTATTGGCTGGATAGTAATTTATAATGCCCCACCTTTCCAACAACACGGATGCAGACCTTGGATCAAGAATTCTGGGTTCCCGCCCTGGCTGGGGTCATTGTGTCGTGTTCTAACGTCTTTCACTTANGGGGGGGGTTAAATTCCCCTAGTTACTTCACGGTATGGAAACAAGTGGCACACAGGGTGAACATTGGCCTGATCAATGAGCTGCTCACTTCCAGTGCAACCTTTATGTACACTGTAGCAATGCAGAGTAGCTGTTGTGTTGAATTCAGATCTACTAATTAATAATGATCCTATTTTTTGCACATATGAACTGGCCTTGGCAGCACGTGCAATGTACCTCTTACAAAAAATCTTGCAATTTTCCTCTGTTGACAAACATTATTTTATGGTAGCTTCAAAGTAAATTCTGAACAGAAACATTTTGAGTCAAAATTCATGCTTTGTTACATGTATTTGCCCCATTTCTTGTATGTAATGTAAAATTCCAGGGGTATACCAAGGAGACGCTCAAAAAACACAGTGAGGGGGTCCTGTTTTTGATGTTATTGAATTTTTTGATGTCTTAATGCTGCCCAGTGTGGCACAAAACACTGTGACAGTTACAATGTTTCCTGAAATTACTTATAGGTAAAGAACAAGAAACGCTGGAGTCAAGTCATGTATATGTCTTATGTACTGGATTTTAAAGAAAAGCAAATGGAAGGTACACATGTGCGATTATTATCTGGGAAAAACCTCACTTGACAAATACATGTACATATAGTGCGCTCATTCAGACATTGTCTAATCAAATTTGTGAAATTGTCCAACTAATTTTACATTATGATAGGACATCATGACTGAGCAACAAAATGACCTAGCTAGATCTTGTTTATGCATACTGACCATGTTGTTCACTTCCAATCAGTGAGCATGTTAAAAATCACAAATCATATGGACCCTTGAGTTGACATTGTTAAGCATTGCTAAGCACACATCTAATTTACACGTAACTGTGCTTGCCCATATATATGAATTGTGGGGCAATTTTCAAAACAGTTATAGTAAATTACTTTATGTTCACCTACGGATTGAGGAATCAGATTTTTGTGTGTGCAAATTACATATTAAATTATTGATATTTGACCACACTCTCGCCATTCCATATTACATTCCATTCATTTAGGATAGGCTGGTGTAGCCATAGTTGTGTATGGGGTTCAGTTTCAGTCATAGGAATAGAAATTTCCAGGAGACTAAAAAAGAACAATTTCTTTAAAAGACTTAACTAGTAACACAGACAAGAATATGATTGTTAAAAGATTCATGCAGGTGCCAGTTATTTACCACGCCAAGATACTTGAAAGACCTGGATTCTATTATTAGGGTTGGCTAATGGTCCTTCAAAAACCACGGGTCTCACAAACTTTTTAATACAAAGCTTTCTCAGAGTCTTGATTTTTTGCAAGGCTAAGAAAGTGTCAAAGTCCTAATTTGTTTATGACGTATGGATGTCTTAGAGTCTGAATGTCACTATAAAACACTTTGAAGTCTCGCTGCTGAAAAAGTCAATTAAAATGTTTCAAGCTTGTAAAGAAAAACTCTAGTCTCACCTTCTCACATTCTCATTTACCATTGACCACCCGTATTATTGGAGTTTTATTATAGGATGGCCTTAGTTAGGCTTGATTTCCACCACTTTCTTGGGTGCCTTAGTTTACAAAAGCAGCATCATAATCAGAATGTTATGTAAATATTTAAGAAATAGAAAACATTTACTATCGAGTTATAGAAACACGAGTGGAAGTTTGGGAGAACGAGAAATGCTGTGGGAACATGAGCCGCAGGCGAGTGTTTCCACAGCTTTTTCAAGTTCTCCCAAACTTTCATGACTGTTTCTATTAAACTCGATAGAAACACAGAGAACATGTTTTCTACTTCTTTTAGAAAACAATGCGACGAAAAAAAGGAAAACAACTTGTTAACYYTGATTATCAAATTGTAAATTCTCTTTGCTTGCGCCATCATTACGTCAACAGCTCGTGCTAGTTCTGTGTTTCCATCGAGTTGTAGAAACACGATTTTTAACCAATCAGTGCACGTATTTTCTTAGGACTGTTTTCTAAAATATTATAATGGATTTTGCCATCATGGCTGCCATGATTATTATTTATTGGTTTTTGTTTGCCATTACAGTGACAGATGAGAACACCTACATCTTAACAACAGATGCTGACGTCAGATTCACTCATGAATCAGTGGAAGCTTTGCTTGATCTCATGGCAAGAGATCCCACTGTGGGTGCTGTTTGTGGAAGGACTCATCCCCTAGGGGTTGGACCTGTTGTCTGGTACCAGGTCTTTGATTACGCAATTGGACACTGGTTCCAAAAGGTACACAGAAATTATATGTATGTGTTCAGCTGAAAGTTTTATCATGTGTACTGGCATTACAAATGGACAGATAACAACAAGACTGTTGCTCTTGTTATTGAGCAGCAAGCTATGCTGTTAGTAATTCTGTGTCCCTCAGATTTAAATGTTTCTCTTGTCTCTGATTAAGAAAACGATGAGATTCTCAAGAATAAATTAATTTGTTTCCCTCAGGGCCAGTCATGAATAACAATTAGTATATATTAATGATCACACTAGTTATTGCTGTCACTGTATACACGTATACATCCAGGAATTATTAACTTATTTGGTATGCAGCCAAGTTGTTAAGGGTTATTGTAGGCTGTACATGTATGCTTTCTATTCACAGCCAGCTGTGAAACCTGCCCCTCCCCCTCCCCCTCTTGGGGATAGGATGCTCATAAGACAGTGGGAATAAGACCAATCTGGGTGTAGTTAGATGTTTATTTGACCCCTAAAAGATACCACTTAAGGTGGCTCCCTATGGTTTTACGATCGCACGCACGCTGAGGACGAAAGCTCAAGTAATCTGCGCACGCTCAAAGGAAAACGTCAGTGTTTTTGGATATTTTCTGACGTCAACATGAGCATAAAAAGCAAAACTGACAGTGAATTTTCTCGCGTTTCCTTCGGTGAAATTCCGTAAAATGTGGCAGATTGGTAGTAAATATTTTATTTTAGTCGGAGCTCGTTTTTCAGGGAAATCTATAAGACCAGATTTTTTGCAGCAGTAAAAGACATAAATTGCAAAAAATCGAAAAAACTGCCTTGACAAACCCTACTTTTTTTGTGTTTAAAATTCATATCCCGCGGGAAGCGATGTGTTGTAAAGATTTCACTGAAGAAAATTCAAGAAAATCACCAATAAAGCCACACAAACAGTAAAAAACACATTTGTTTGGGCATTTATAATTCAAGACCAAAGCCCAAAATTTTAACAGAGATGATAGCAAAACACTATTTAATCATTCGTTATTACATGTAATAAGTTTGAAAGGACTGGGTGAGAAAGCGAATGCAAAAACATCATTCAAAACATAACACTTGCGCGTGCAACGCCTTAAATGATTTCCCTATGGAGCCACCTTAAAACGGAAGTGACAGCATTTGTTTATTTCTTTGCACGCACCCTGACAGATACTTTGACAGCTTTAAAATTAGTGAACACCCTAACTGAGACCACAATCTGTGATTGACAGCCCTAAGTGAGAAAACAAGCATCCGAAATCTATTTATATATGCCCCCCCCCCCCAACTGGGGAAACCTGTCTTCATGTCATCGTGTTAACACTTTTCTTTGCCTTTTAACCGAGTTACCTAGCCTGCACTCATTTTTTTCTTCGTACTTATTATACATGTACAGGTGGCCAATCATGTACTTGGTTCTGTTCTGTGTTCACCTGGCTGTTTCAGTGTCTACAGAGCTGCTGCACTTCGGGATGTGCTCCCGATATATTCTTCCAAAGTTGACACCTCATTTGATTTTCTCACCAAGGACATGGGTGAGTACATCCATTAACAGCTCTTTTTTGTCTTTCTTGAGCTGAGACCAGCTGAGGCCAAATTTACCCCATGTCAAGTATTGCAGTAGGAAAAAATATAATTAACAACTAGTAGTAATCACAGATTATGAGAGTGCGTTCGACGCTCTCACTTTCATATATATATATACCGTAAATAAATGATTTCACTAGCTGACTTTCAACCTTTGTCTATTGGTAAAATCAACATTTTTCAGCAGCAACCGAGGTTTTACAGTCAGATATGCATAGTGTCAAAGTCCATGCTAGTGAAGAGGTCACGATTTGTTGATACGTTGCGTGACGCTGCCACTTCCTGTAGACTCACAAGTTTCATAGAATATTTAAATTACGTACATTATTCTATTAAAGCTACAATCTTGGACAAAATAAATGGAACATCTGGACCACCCCTCCCCCCATTTCAATGATGCCAAAATGGCGCGCTTTTGCTCCGTCGCGCCTTCATCATTGCTTTGGGGGGGATGGGGGATAATTGTTCCATTTTATTCTGTCCAAGATTGTAGCATTTGCRATCGCGTGGTCTTTTCGCGTGGTCGATTATCGTAAACAAACTTCGTGCGACTAATTCAAGTATTTCCCCTAATGAATAAAGTAGTCTCACGGATCTTGCCTTCAGAATACTTTTCCACCGATTCCAAACAATAAAATTGCGACCGGATAAAGACTGAGCTATCTGTCGCGACTGAACTAATCAACAAATGCAATCAAAATGTAGCTGTTCCCACGGTTATCATCCCAAAGCCAAGTCGCGTTAATAAACAAGGACAATTCCCTCAGATTTCGATAAATGCTACCTTCGAAGCGTTTAAATTGGCCAAAGCCTAATGCTGAGAGCACATAATAGCGAAGCGTACGGCGACTGAATGGAAAGAAGTCAAAGAAAGATCCATAGGAAAGACGAGCTCACATAGCCTGCTCACATACTCACATGTTCGCCACATGTCTTATCACATGTCTTAGCATTAAACGGTACCAGTTTACTGGCCGTGACATACCCCTGCAAAAATCAAGCGGGGTGGCCATTTTGGTGTCCTTACAGGAATGTGGGGTTTTCGGCCAATAACCGTGCACAGGGCAACCAACTCTGAAAAGCCAGAGGTCACAATTAGGTTTGCGTTCCACTTCGTCGAACGCAATAATATTCAAGTCTTAGTTAATAATTTATTAATTAATGTTTCCCAATTGCCCATAATTCATTGGGAATATGCAGACCTCCCAAGAGCATTTCACAACAACAGTTTATACAAAATTTGGGAAGGGTGGGGGGCGGCAAGCAGAGTGAATTATAAGTGAATTATTGAAACTCGCTTCCTCGCTCACTTTAGGTGAAGACCGATGGTTGTGTACTCTGATGGTGCAGTCTGGGTGGCGTTTAGAATACTGTGCGGCAGCTGAGGACAGCACTTACTGTCCGGACAATTTTGACGAATTTTTCAAACAAAGGCGGCGCTGGATTCCTTCCACTTTAGCCAATCTTGCTCTTCTGATCAGTGAATGGAAATTAACAGTGAACAACAATGACTACATTTCATTTGGGTTCATTCTCTATCAGGCACTGATGGTTTTTTCAACAATTATCAGGTTTGTTCGGAAGTCCAGACTCTAGCCATCTCCGACTTTTGTAAGTAAATAACACTGGACTTGAACTGTGTTTCCCCATTATTGTTGATCAAGTGGTATACATGTAAAAGTCAAATGTTGGTTTAATGGACCTGTCACATTTTGGAGGAAATTTTAAGGGAAAAGACTACATAACTTCTCTTACAGTATGTGCCTGTGCTCATTAGATGGTCATTTTCCGTACATTAGCTTATTTTTTGCTCCTTACTCACAATCTTTCTATACTGTGGTTTGTACCGCAACATAAAAGTAGAAGTGAGTTTCAAACTCTGCCACCAATTTTTATGTTGTTGGTCTCAGGAATCTATACTCTTTCCTTTTTGTAATGTACAACTTGCAGTAAAAAAAGGGTAGAGGGAAATTCAGACCTTAAAACTCTATACTAAACCTCAAAACTTTGAACTTAATAAAGCTCTTCATCTTTAATGTACAGCACGGTATGTTTGCAAGGAAACTGTTGCCTTGTGGGTAATCTCTCAATAGATTTGTGATCAAAGATCGGCAATTGATTAAAAACGTAACAAGGAACAGAAATTAACGGTTGATTTTTCTCTTTTTTTTCAGCCCCTCCACAGTGATCCTAATCATAGCCAGTGGTTTGTCTTATGTCAAATTCATTGAGAATATCATTGTCCTGGTAGTTCTTCTCACACTTCTTACGGTTGGATATGCGTTAATCTGCCTTTACACTTCGCAGGAATTCCAGCTAAAAGCTGCAAAATTGTTGACGGTCGTTTTTTCTTTACTGATGGCCTTTGTCACGGTAGGCGTGATTGCTCAGGCTGCTGATGATATCTATGAGCGTGGGCACCCACCAACTCCAACCCCAACTGCAGCTATTCCAACAGCACGACACAACATAACACCAACTTCAAACCCAACACTTAGTACAGCTCTATTATCGACCACCGCTGGTGCAGGTGATGGGCTGCCTGCTGATGTAAGCTCACTGTATTTGGGAGGCCTGATCGGGATTTTCATCTTGGCGGCCTGTTTGCACACTACAGAAGCTTTTTGTTTGATTAATGGCGTTTGGTATCTACTTTGCCTTCCATCTGGTTATCTTTTGCTGATTGTCTACTCTATTTGTAACATGACAGATCGCTCGTGGGGTAAGCAACACCTGCTCCATAATGCTAATTAATGAAGGCACCTTTTGCCATACACCAAAATATCCAAATATGAGTAGCTGTTTTTTGTTCTGGAAAGTGATTGTAACCACTGATTAACAAATTGACGTCAGTTTTTTATGTGTCTGTCTTCTTATTGATGATAAATTGCGTCATATCATTGTCAAAGTGGCTGTGGAACTACGAGTCGCAGGCGAGTAGTTCCGCGGTAAACTTTGACAATGTTATGACGAAATTTATCATCAATAACAGGACAGACGCATAAAAGACTGAAGTCAATTTGTTTTTTACAATAACAAGACCCCAAAATGGTCAAATGCCGGGAATAAATGAGGAGAGAAGACACCGTTAACTTGCCGTAAACAAAGATAAGTGCGTTTTATTCAAAATGACTCGAACATTGTCAGTAGCTTTTCTCGCTTTTTGATTGGCTACCTAAAAAGGTCCATTAACGCCCAAGTCGCTAGTGGAGGGAAGGTGCCTACGAAGCCCGGGGGCTGCAACCGCAGTCACATCCCCAAGGCGCTAGAACACCCGACTGGCCTGCCCACCCCGCAACCAAGCCACGAGCCCCCCGCGCCAAGCCCCCTACAGGCACCCGTCACACTCAAGCCAGATGGCATTGGTGGAAAAAAAAATGCTAAAAAGAGGGGGGGATAGGGAGGGAACGTCGAGAACCGCTAAACTATAATTCAATCCACAACGCCACACTAACAGAACGATGAACACACTGCGAGCACATGGGACGACAACACATGTACTAACCAAAAATACCGCTGGACAATGTCAGCCCCAGGGCTCTCACGACCATATGACTG